AACAAAGCGTGGACCAATTATACGTAAACACGAAACAAACCGAGACACTCGTCTGATATTCAGAAACGGCCGCAGGTGGGCACACAGTTGCGACTTGGCCACAGAATCGGACTATTATTAAATAAATGATATTTATGTGATTGAACGGGAAAATACTTAACTTTCGTAATAGAGTTGTTATTAGAGCAAATCTAAATAGCTAGTCACTTTTTAAGTTTTTTATTTGACATTGCCATTGTATTGTTAAGTGGCATACAAAATGATACCGATAGGTGCAGATAAAAATCAAAAAGGTATTAAGAAATAACACTTCTTAAAGTGATCGATTTGTTGGGAAAAAATTATAAAATTTAAAATATAATAATCATTACAGACTTTTATGTTGGCCTTATATTTTTGACTCATACATTCTTTGATAAGGTTAATTTATTTATTCATTAAGCAAGCCTCGCTTAATTATATTAATAACACCTTGAGTCAATACAAAAAATACGGAACTAGAAATGCGTGACCAAATCGGACTGTATAATTTACACTGTCGGATGCAGATGTAAAATCAAAGAAGCAATAATTCTTGAATGATAAAAAGTCTCAAATAGAACATTATAACTTGCTACTTGAAATATGTGCAGAAAATATTTTTCTAAAAGACTACAGTGTGGTTACACTGTAGTCAGAAAAATAATTTTTAAAGAAGTTCTATTTATGCGGTTGCATAAAATAGAACTTTCGAAATCAGACAGTGTAAATTGATAAAGGGCTATAAAGTTTTAGTTTCATTGTATGAGACTTCTGAAATATGTGCAAAAATTGATAGCGAAAGCCATGTCAGCTTATTATAATCCAGCCAGTATTTTTCACGGACAATCTTTCATCTATCTGTTTATAGCCGAGTCCATGTGTACAACTGTCTCTATTGCCCCGAGCACTCGGCCTAACACTCAACGCCATAAATCTTCCTCACGTAAAAATCCACAATAAAGTAGGAAGGAGCATTCGTAATCCATCAGCACGCATTCGATATGAAGGTTGCTAGCTTTTAAATATGGCTTCGCTCGAAATAGTAGTTAATTTTATCGGGATCTAGGGTATGTATCCATTAAAACTTATTCATATTCGTCTAGTTGTCGTTGCCGGCGGGGCGTTCAGGTTACAAACACCCAATAATAAGATCAACTTTTAAAGGTTCCATGTTTATTAACACTTGCTCTTTAAATGTCCATGACTGGACAAGAAATAAAATATGGACATCATCATCATCATCAGGTCTAAGACGTATAGAGGGAGGCCTTCCAACGCTACGTAGAGCAGAACCAGAAAGGTAGAGCTGGGAACTTGACATATATAATAGCATAAAAGTTAGCTTTATTTTTACCCAATTTCTGCTTAGTGTACGGATACCTCAACCCCGATATTTGCATTATTAAACTCACTAAACGTTCATAAGTAACGTAAAAATCCATAAGAAATACGAAAAGACAACCCTGTCTACGCCTCCAGGGATAAAGTTAACTAATGAACGAGTACAATCGATTCGATCAACTTGTTTAAGAACGACTAGTTAAATGTCGACGACCTGATTATCAAAGAACTAAAAGAGGGCGGCTTAATTACAACCAGTGGCCGAAAGGTGTGATTACATATGTACGGAAGAGACAACGGTGAAGAGAAGGAAATATCCACTGGTCCTTTTGGGTGAAAGGAGTAACAAACAATGTTTAATAACATTGTTTATTAAACATTATGTATTTATATTTTATTTGGATGCATAAGGAAGTTTCCGAGTGTTTGCGAACGCTTAACTCAATCTCTCACATCTTTCTGTCTCAGCAACCGTCTTGATTCAAATTGAAATCTAGATTGTTTAAATAATAGAACACAAAATTCGCGGGATTTGATATATTCGGGGGGTATATATGTTAATATTTATGTATGTTTACACATTTTTACTAGACCATGTAATAATATGTCCACATTTTACTGGTAAATAGTCCCTCGGCTACCAGTAGCTTAGAGCATGTTGGCCCAATAACTGTGCTGTGGTCGACCGCACGGTACTCGATACGAATTTTAATTAGAGGGTCAGTTCGGACCACTGCCAACTGATTTACAAACAAAGAGAAATTAGTTAGACAATGTTGTATAAATTAAATAGTAAAAAAAACTGATGACAATGTCCAAATGGAGCTATTGTGGTGCTCTTGATGTATACAGACGCTCGGAATATTTTTAAATATATCACTACGCTTATGCAGATTACGTCGACTTCGCTTTCTTAGGTAATCAATTTCTGTAAACCAATAACGACCTGCTTTTTTAATTCAACCCTGAGTGATGTGTTAAGCCAAATTCACCTTTAAAAGTTAAAAGTTTTTATGTTTGTGTTGCTATTTTTACCTAGTCAGTGCGGCGGGAAATAAAAAAAAAATATTTATTTCGCAATGTCCTGAGATGTTCTGATTGATACGGGATTAAAATGATGTGATGATATTACATGATTCTTTCTTATTTTTACTATATTGCATCCAACTACGTTGAAGTTTACAGAGAGACTGGTAAAGCTGTTCTAGTACAATAGTTTTACGCGAAATCAATACGTGAATTTACTTTGTATAAACCTTTGTCACTTGATATATTTATTAGAACCAATTACTTAATTATATTAAATGAATTTTAATGTTCAAATCGAATAACCTTAAATAGAATCAATTAAAATAACAAAAACAAAAACTATATGTTACGTATCCTATGGAAATAAATAGTTTTATAGAATGCTATTAAGGTTTTAACTTGCAGGATTTATTCTCTATTAAGTTTGTCACATTAGCTAACCTTTTCTTGCGTCGGTATTTCGTTATATTTAACGTCAAACCAACTTATCAAGTGCACAGTGCCTTTCTAAACGATGGTAGGAAGTTGGGAAATAAGAATCTTGGGATTTAACACCGCTCGTGCACCGCATACGAACAACTGCATTTGCTGCTACGATGCCTGTTCTCTTACTGTTAGCGGAGTTGATTTAAAAATGTTAAACTCTCAGCTCTGATATTCTCACAGCTTGTCTGTTTCTCATCGAGTTCAACGAATTTTAAAACTGTTGAATGAGGGATAAGAAAGTCGGCGGTGGACGAAGATTTGATTCCACATTTTTGCGTATTTCTACATGCTTGGGTCATCTACTCTTTGTGTACAGTAATATAAATATGAATTCCAAGAAATCCCTTTCATAAAAAGTTCGACGCATCTCTACAGGTGTTTCAAATGTCCATTGGCAGCAGTCAGCTCTTAACATCAGGTGAACCGCCAGCTGGTTTGCCAACTTCTCACATAAAAAATAATATCGTTCCTTTTAATTAGTTCTAAACAAATTTAGGAAACAAAAACTTTGTCTTTGTGTGATATTGTTTTTAATAATATATTCCACCAAGAAATTTATAGGTTAAAAAAAAGGAGTGATATAAAAAGATAAAGGTCTCACAAATCAAGTCTACACGATTCTAATATTTTTTACTCGATAATAAATATAAGCTTTGTTTTATTATGAATTAGTTGTACTTTTCTAAGTTTTCGCGTCTTCTGGTGTCTTCGTTGAATGTCCGGATTTGTATCTGATTTGGAAATGCACTAACTTAGTGAAAAGCTTCAAAGACAAACGGATGATAAAACTTATGCCGGCAAAATGAGGTGGTCTACGACGACGATGCAGTCAAAACAGTGTAAAGTGTAACTACGTGTCGCGTTTGGATCGGGTCGTTCCTAGAAAGGCATAGGACCGATAACGGCGGAGGAAATCGTGAACCCGGTGTCCCACTCCACCAGACAACTGTAATATGTAGGTAAAACTCACACATAGGTCACATCGGCAATCTAGAGTGCTGATTCGCGCTGCAGTCCAAAAATGGAACGATCCATAAATCGGGATAATATCTGGATAATATATTTAACGATATAAAAACATAAAACATCAACTTTTCCTTTATTGATCTGTTTTTTTTCTTAATACAGTGTGTCTAACTATTTAGTATTCATATTTATTTATTTTATATAAATTTTATCTAATTGTCCTCATTATACACTCCGGGATATATTTTTAAATCTCCTTAAAGAAAGGTCTTCCTGGAGGAAATCGCTATTTAAGCGATAAGGCCGCCATTTGTACGTCCATTTTTGTAACCTTTTTAAATGTATGTTTTGTTAATGCTTCTTTTTATGGTGTGTATAGTCATAAAGTTGGTTAAATGCAGTATACCATTGTAACTAGTGCCTAATGGTATGCAGCACCATCGTTGATGCTGTCAGAGATTGTCATTAAATTAGACAGCCGACAACTTATGTAGTTAGCAGTTGTCTGTTAGCGAAATGTTTTAAAGTTCAAAGGGTTTTAGGAAATGGAGAGAACTTTATTCCCGTGAAAGAAAGTGTTTGTTTATGGCTTTCCTAAATTTGTTTTTATGGGTTTAATCGATGCAACATTTAAAAGAAAGAGTAATAAATGGCCATGGAATGAAAAATATTTAAATGATCAGGTTTAAGACGAATTGAATTTGATAAAATCTCTTCAATAGTATTCACCAATGTATTTAGACCTGTTATGTAGAAAGACCAGAAACTAGTACAAAATATTCCCTTTATAAGTATATTAGTAACTTTTACTCCTAAACATACTGTTTCCACGAAATTATTAATAAGATAGCAGAAAAAAATTATTGGTTGCGTGTTCCGCCACTCTCACATTTGGGGTTGCTTATTGGAACTACCTCGTTACCAAAAATTTAGTATTTGAGGTGACTGTGGTGAGGCCAACCATCTTATAGGCCGACTTGGTTTAGCCAGTGATGTTTCAGTGGCCGGTGCGATGTTCTTTGGATCTTAATTTCTCTTTTCCTGATGTTTCATGTGCAAACGTCAAATGTGTTACGAGTATATTTTGGAGAGGAGGAGAGTCTTCGACAATTCCGTTAGGGCTAAAAGGCGATATCAAGTTTGTTCGCAACTTTCAGCGGGGCCTGGTGCAGGGGTGCGGTGGTGGTTGTGCGGCGCGAAGGGATGCGGTGTGGGGGGAGGGCGGGGCGGTCGGGGCGCCTGCCCGCCGCCGCCCTGCTGCTCGCACTGCTGGCTCCCCTAGCGCGCGCTGACGTCATCTTTAGGGTACCAGAAGTGGTGGTAACTTGTTGTTTAGTTCAGTGCACCATCACCCGCTTCGGCCCCACCTGTGGGCCCACGCACTCGACTTCTATGCGGCCCCCGTGAGTCCCATGTGATCGTGCATGCTTTAATGTGGATAGGCCAGCTGTTCTACGAATTTGTAGTGAAAAATCTTGCGTTTATTAGTTAACCACACATCTTATGTTTACGGGACAGTCGAACTATCCCGAAATTCTCACTCCGGCTTACAAGATAATAAAATGATCTCTCAATGTGTTTACGTAAGTGTAGTCCCCCTGTTCTAAGCTATCAAGCAGTGTCAGCATTTTATTAAGTAGCACATATTTCCAATATGTGCCGTTTTAACGAATATATATTTGTGATAATAGGCTTCAGCACGAATTATTCTATTAGCACTGCTTATTTCTTTAATGTTTCTTGGCTGACATCGTTTGCTCCAGTCATCGCATTGTTGTATGGGTGCAGGTGCGCCACGCTGCGACAGCGCGCGCGGTGGGCAGTGGGGGCCTGAACAGGACTGCCGGCGGGGACAGCTCCAGAGCTGAGCCCCAGGGCGTGTTGGAGGTCCGCTACGAGGAGTACTACGTGGAGCACGATGTCTCCACGACGGACGCGCGGCGCGCCGCCGCGAACTTGGACCTACTCGAAGGTACGACACTTAGGCACTTGCCAGCAGCCTCTTATGTATTTCACAAGTTAATGAACTTACACATAAAAATATTCTTATATTGTTGGAAGATTTATTTAATTTTTCGATTTGATTAGTTCATGAACGACGGCTACCGATGAATGTTCCGGATGTGGATGTGAAACGTCTCTACATCACTTGGCAATAGTCATACTCCTGCCCGAATCCCACCCGTAGGTGGGTTGGCACAGCATGTAAATCATGTCGTAAACGGTTTTGGCTATGATTTTTACGACGGGCACAATATCATTATTATCTGTGGGTCACACAAGTACTTGTACCATGGGGGAATCGATCTTACCCCCTGATGCCGAAGCCAATAGCTTAGCCTTATGGTATTAAAAATGTACTTATATATACTAAGATAATATTAACAATGTTAACTAGCATGTCCTAGTTGTCATTAAGTTATCAATAATTGAAATTGCTTCGGAAACTTTCAAATCGGCTCAATCAAGTAACTGTTTTAAATTAAAACTAATTTAGATGTGTTTTGATTAGCTGTAGTTAAAAGAATAACCTGCTCTGGGCCTATAAGTCTCCATAAATTATACGAGTATTTAAATGTCTCGCTGACAATTAAAATCATCGGTGCTCTAATTACAGCTGGATTAAAATCCAGCTGATTACTTGCCAAGGTCATTATTCTGATTCATCATTTGAATACATAATGGACAACGCTTCAGGGTTTACATAAAGGTTTTTGAAAATAGATTTTACTTAAAACGATGTGATAATAATGTAACACCTGATATGGAAGATATGTATAAAGTTAAAACTAAAAAAAAATATACTATATAATCCAGTGCAACCGCGGATCCGGCTATCAGAAATTTGTTTGGTTTGGGAATGGCCTCAGATCTTCAATCAAATCAATCTTCATTATAAACACATAACACAGAGTTTATAAGAAAGAAATAGCAGATTTTGTAAAGTTAATAAATAAAATAGCATGAGCGGGGAGGATCAAAGACGATCAAATTCGTAAAGTCAATTGGAGAAAATCTCACCTTAAATTAACTTTCATCTTTTATAAATTGCTTGATTTTAAATTATTTTCGTGCAAAGATTAATTTCGCATCAATTTTATATATGACTTGACATTGTGTACTAAACAGTTATACTGGTATTCTGACCATTTATAGTAATTAACAGAATCATTGTACATATAAGAAATGATAAAAAATATACGTCAAATGTTGCTTAAATCTCACCCTAAGACGTGGTGTCATAATTGAGTAACTGCGTGGCTAATATAATAATATTGCTCAATTGATACTGTAACAATCGCATCACACATGACAGTAATTTCAGCTTTGCAGCATCTACGTGACGCAAGACCAATAAAGAGAGAGATATTTTCGCTATTACAATATAAAGCCCATAGTCCATGCAATAAGACACTGCTATTACCTTGCGTATTATGGAATATTATGAATGAGTATTATGGACACAATGCTACAGGATCTACGGTGCTACGAATGTGCGTAGGTTGAAACTAAAACATGTTTAATGACCAAGTATCTAAATGTATGTTGCTTTGTAAACAAACGAGATTCATAAACTTGTCATCGTAATATCTGGAGACATTAACCATCCTAAGAAACCGGAAGCAGTTAACTTCAATATGGGACAAGACGCATTTGCTCAATCCACAAGGTCCGTCGAGGCAGTTTGCTGTAAACGCGCTTATTTCAATTTGTGCGAAGGCTACAGGGCGGGGCTTGTTGCAAATTGTTTGATTCCAAGGTCTGGGGGCGGACGACGAGTCTGTCCACTGCATTGTGGCTTTGCCTTGTCGCCGTTAGCTGGTCTTTATACAAAATTACATCGTATTATATCTGTTTCTATTGCAGTTTTGAGAGACAGAATTATAGTTGAAATCGCTACAAGTGAAACTATGATAACGACCCGATCGTCGTTTCCACGGCATAAAAGGCGTTCGTCGTTAAGACCAATAGCCTGCAGTTTGATAGACTTTTACTGCGCTAGTGCGTACTATATTACATCACCTCCTACCATAAGGCTGGATGTTCTAGTCTAAGTGACTAACATCCAACTGGTGCTAGCTGGTACATCAAAACAATGGCGTAGTAACATTCAATAGAGTATTTAGAGTAATAAGGGTAACAATGACACTGATGCATACAAAACACTTATACTAAGAGAAAAAATCATGATTATATAATAGTTCGTTTTATAATTAGCCTTCTTTTACTACTGTGACCATTACTGAAAACAAGAAATTAACTTGTAATAATAATAAACCTTTAGTAACTTCCACTGCTGGAATTTGTTTTTAGTTACGTCCACTTAACCGTCGCAGTTTAAAGATGTTTTGTTAGTCTTCAAATTTGAGTTTACAAAACTGGTTAAGAATTTGAAGTAAAGCGATCAAAACCTGTCATATACATTTCGCTTACGGCGAAATAGGTATAAAATGGTCTGTATTACAAAGACGTAATTTTTTGCCTTCTACCAATTGTTGCCATGGTCGAGTGGGTTTACTTGTCGCTTTTTGCTTTAGTAATCACTGTCTTGTAGCGCCAGCTCGATAGTTCGATAGATTGTTGTTGCTACTCGTCAGTTGTAATAAAATACAATTCTTGAACTCTGCTGATTCCAAGAGTCCCGATCATAGTCACCAAGCTTCCATGAATCGGAACAATTGCGAATAAATTATTTCACTGTTCGGATTGCTAAGAAGCCAATGTAACTGATAGCTGTTTTACAAAGAAACTGATACTTTTTTGTAATTTCGGAGATTGTAAATTGAAGAATAAACAAAATGTAATCAATTTGTGGTAATTATGATTAGAAAGTACTATTATACTTTCGCATTTCGCTTTGTGTGTGGTAGCCATGGCTAAATATGTTAAAGGTTGGCAACGCATCTGCAATCCCACAGGTATAGTAGACGTCCATGGAAGGTGGTAATCACTTTTCTTCAGGTGAACCGTCTGTTCTTTTACCACCCCTTTCAGGTGGTTCTTATGTAACTTTTTATGACACAAAAAGGATTTCTTGAGTAATCTGTGCCCTCCTCTCAAAGTATGTATAATGATTATGATTGTAGTGGTGAAAAATATTGACGCAGTTTTTTTTCCGTAAGTTTTCAATTAATATCGCCATTTCGTTTTATTAAACGCATTAAATAAGTCTCACAGTATTGAATATTTCTTGGACATTGCTGTTGTAATGGTTAAAAGATTATACTAAACTCGCTTCTTATAAATATCATACGTAAGGAAACGGTGGTGCTAGTGAAATAGCATTGTATTTTTGTAAATTGTACGATGATTAATGCCAATTAGCAAATAGACGAATTTGTTTTATATACTTTATAGCTTTCACATAATTTTCACACTGTGCTACAAGCATATTGTAAATTATTTATGATATGAAGTAATTGTGGCGCAATTAGTTTGTTTAGATGTTATTTCAAGTTTGCAACTGCGCATAATTTCGTGCGAGGGCTAAGGTATATGACGACAGCCATCCCGCCCCCGTCTAGACCACCCCGCGCCCCCCACACGGAGCTTGTATTGATTTAGTGCGTCCCTATTGAGAGAACGGGACGTTTTATCATATTCCAGATTCCCATATAAATACTTGAATATCACTCCCATCCTGCGACTAACTAGTTTAAAGTTTTTAGGATCAGTGCGAGTGTTTGTATCTATTTGTTTTTAAGCCACAACTGTTAAACATACAATAGATAATACAGGAATAGGTAGTACGGGAAATTGCTTACAAATTTTATTCACGTTTACTTTTTTTATCTTTCAAAAATTAACTGAACATAGCTATTCCAAAACGGCGAAGTCTATTAAGCCTCGTATTCGCGAAACTCCCAACTAAAGTATCGAGCTGCCTATTGCAGTACAATCTGTATTTCTAGCAACGTATTCGACAGGAAGCCACATGAGTAATGCCAAAAGCCACACGTGACGAACCTCATCTTTTAAGTCGGGTAATAAAAATTCCTTCGCACGCGCGCCTGCATTCATTACCCGCCTCCATTGTCCTTCGAAATGAATGTTCGCACGCGGTATGGCACACGCTGTAACGCTCAATGAGCCCGACGTAATGCTACAATTGCACATCGGGCGTCGCGACAAGACTGCAGCTCGGTAGCTACTTATTTGTGAATGAATGATCGAATGACATTTTAAATTGAATAGTTCTCTTGTTTTGGTTGCATTACAGCATACAAGAGCATAATTATGTTTTAATGGTTGAAGTTTCAAATATCAATTGTGTTGTGACCTCAACAGGTCAGGGCTCGTGTAGTTTTTTATTATTTGGTGGTGTAGGGTACTAATAATTCTTTCTGGGAAACATATAAAATATATTTTGTATGTTGTATGTGTGCCCATAACAATGGGTCCCATAACAAAGCACGCGTACATACACGGAAACTTGACCAATTTCGCCGGCTCGGAGCCCGACGAAGCTGTCGTCCGAACATGATAGCAACCAGACTGAGGTAACTGGGCGGTCGGGCAGACGTGGACGACACGGAGCTGCTGCGGCGGCGCCGGCCGCAGCCGCTGATGGGCGTGCGCATCGGCTGCGGCGTGTGCAGCCGCCGCGACCTGGAGTACTGCGAGACGCGCGTGCTGGCCGACCACTGCTGCTGCGAGGGCCCCGCGCGCGAGCCCTTCCCCTGGCTGCCGCACACGTGCTACGCGGGGCCCGCGCCCTGCCGCCCCCTGGCGCGCAGCTGCGTCCACTACACGCGCCTGCGCGACTGCTGCTGCTTCCGCCGGCTCGCCGAGCGCTGTTGGTGTCTAGCTCTCTCGCTTCCCCTCTCCCTCGTTCTACCACTCCTTCGCTCCCTCGCTCTTTTGCTCTTCGCTCCCTTGCTCATCGCTCCCTTGCTCTGTCGCCCCCTCGTTCCCTCGCCCTTCAATGCCTACACGCTAACACACTCCCTAACAAGTCTGCCCCCCCGATCTCACATGTCAGAGGAAACAGTTTATGAAATCAGGTTTCAGTCGTTCATTTCGTAGATGCTAGATGCTACAAAGATACAACTACGCCAGAAGCTCTTGCTGCTACCTAAATGAGTAGACTCCGCATAATCGAAGGTTGCCTGCGTGTGAATTGACCACATTGGAAAGGTTGGCAACACACAATCGGGTGAGGGTGGCGGTAATTATTTACAGTCTAGTGAACCGCTATTTTTTTTCTTTTTATTCATTTTATACTTTTGATATAAAACTATAAATATTAATCGTTGCATTAAAATGTCGCTTATATTTTCACTTGACGTTAGAAGTTAAAATTTTAGGTAGAGACTAATTTCTCCTACTTGGAGTTGCTTGCTAACACTTTGAGGAGCACCAAATGACTGTCCGCAGGGAAGGGCATCCTGCTGAGGTCGGGGTCGCGGCGAGGCGAAGGCGTGCCCTTCGGCTGGCTGCTGCCCCTCGCCACGCTCGCCCTCACGCACTTCTGAACACCCACCTTGATGACACCTGGCCAACCGACGACAGCCTGAGGACTACTCTATTGGCTCTCTTACGGCCGGTTTCAATTCTATCTACAGATAGATTTGGTTACTAGCGATAGATATTTGTCACGAGCCATTATATTTACGTCAAAATTCTATCTCCAGAACCGAACCGGCCGTTTCTCCATATTAGCACATGTTCGAATTATGGGTTTTATCGTATGACATAATAATGGAATGTCTATATTGTTATGAATCTATTTACAGTGATCAATAATTCAACAGTTGTGTGTTGATCTTGAACTCGCATTTGTGAAATGTACACGTCATCATTTATCCTCGAGTAGATAAGACAAAAGGTGGTTTCGATGTTTTTGGGCCTTCCTTTTCAATAGGCGACTTTGTATGACACACATATCCTAATTATTACTTCAAAAGAAGCTATGTGTACCTTCACACAAAGTAAAGACTTTATCCCACTTTTTATTTATTATAAGATAGTTTGCGTTAAGGCTGATTAACACAGATGGAAAGACTTTTTATATTAAGCCCAATTTATCCAATTCCGTGTACAAAAGTTCTGAACACGTTTATCTATCATTAAAACACTCGGCGTCAGTTGAAATTATTTCCAGAAGTGTTGAGGAGAAGTGGATAGTGACGAAGAATATATTTTTATAGGGCTATTTGATAGCTTCTTGTTACGCGGCCTAAGCGAAAGGCCTGTTTTTAAAGTTACCGTCTGAATTTAAACTGTTTAACTTCCAAATTTCTTTTTTATTTAATGAAAAGTTTTGTTTTTTGTTTTCCAGTTGTTTATACGTATTTTTGTTGTTTTTATGCTTTCTAAAAGTAGGTAAAATACGATTGTGCTAAGATCAGTGTTATGTGGGCAATAATCAAAATTTCAAGTGACAAGAATAATGATACTCTACTAGTACATTTTGATTATTAAATTATCAATGTTAGGTTTACACATGTCATATAAGTTATTTTTTATGTGCTAAGTCGACCGAAATTACGATCGAAGGCGTTCCTACGCTGGCGTACTATAAGTATTATTTGTTTATCAGTATTGGCGCCAAAGCTGCCTAGTTTCTAAGTTACCGTTCTCTCCACCCAGTCATTAAATGAGGGTGTTGGTTAGTTTTGTATTTATTTATATAAGATAAGAGGTCTTTTTTTTATCTATTTCGTCAATAAGACAGTTGAATCGTACAAAGATAAGCATACATTTTCTTTTTAAGTAAACAAAGAAAAAATATTGTACTATTTCTGTAGCTTTTAAATACATATGACTAAATTACAGTAATATATCTTGATCAATTACTTTATTTATACTATATTTCAAACTGATAATTATTAACTGTACAAAAACAAATTTTCGATATTTTAAAATGTGTAATATACACGTAAGTTCATTACGTATTCGAGAAATTAATTAAAATATATCTATAAAATATATGACCATATATCTAAAAAAATATATATATATATATATATATATATATATATATATATATAATGATAATATATATGATATTATATACCTGAAACATACAGTTGTCTTCTAGGTGCGATAAGAAATATGTACATTCAGGGTAGAGAAGATCAAGCACTATATTGGTCTATCGATGTCTAAAATTGTAAAAAATAAATATAAAGCAAAGTTACCACATGCGCGTTTTATTTATTATTTATTTATTTCTTTTTATTTATTATACATTTATTTATCTTTCAAAAAACACATCTACACAGTTATAAAACATTATGATCACTTTATCAGGAGTATTACAATTGAAGTACGTCGTGGACTCATGAATTAATAATGATTCCTTGTATATACGCGAAAATACGCAGTGTGAACTATTTTACGGATTACACTGTTTATTATTTTGTACAGTCCGTCCAGCGGCTCTCTTCGAAATGTCGATAAGTAAAAGCTAAATTGAGCCCGATAAAATCCGTAAAATTGTTTTACTTAACAATCAATCAAAAAGGTTTTAACACTCATTTATAGTCCTAAGTTAAGTGACCCTTGTTCTTATAAGTACGAAAAAAAATCACGTCTCTAAACAAACTCAAGTTTAGAGGTGCTTCCCACGCGTGATGTGTGAAACTAGTAACTCCTTATTTGGTTGCGTAAAACACGGTACATACATCAAATTCACTTTTAAAACCATTACCTTTTGCAATGAAACTCTTTATAAGCAATGAAATTGAAGAGTAAACATTAATGATCACCAAACATATGTCAATGTATAAAGGATGATTTTTTTTTAGTATAGGACTAGTAGAAGTTAAAACATTTTGTTGGTTTTTTCATGGTACACGTATCCCATATTATTCTGTTCTTCTGGTACATTATAGGTCTGCAGAATAATTAATTATAAGAAATTGACTGAGAATCGAATGAGACTTGGCCAGAAGTTTTAAAAGGGGCAGCGCCTGGCATTATTTAAATATAGTTGTCTTGATAACGAAGGTTTGGCCGAATTGATGCAGGCGTGTTGAATTTATATCTTACTGTCGTTACAAAAGTTCAGGTATTACTTTACATTTAGTGCTACAATGGTTATGTCAAAATCATTATTAAAGTAATGTAAATGAGTTATTGTGCTTCATATTACAATAAACATATATACTCGATGATTGACGGAGTCATTATCATTAAACGTGTTATAATCCGTGAAATTACCTTTCAATACTGTTCGTGATCCTTACTTCCCACAAGTTTGTAAATTGTTGCAATTCAAGGAGTAGAATTATATTATTAAATAATTTATAAAGCACACTGAGCAATTCTATATTTTGATCATATAACACACAAAAACGTGACGACGTGATTATGTGTCTTATATATGTTTCGTCGAATCGTCCCATCGGAGATTTCATTCAACGTCAAACTCGTTGGTTGTGTAAACTGCATCGGTCGAGATCGCTCGTCGGGCCTGCGGGGTCGGGTGGGCTGGGTTGAGTTGGGGTGATTTGGCCAAGTTCTCCCAGAGGCGTCGGCTGGCGGCCAGCGCGTCGCGGCGGCGCACGAAATTCCGGCGCCAGCGCACCGTGCAGTGGAAGATCAGACCGCACAAGAGGGGCAGCAGAGCGCCCACCACGAACACCCAATGGCTGCACACCTTTGCTGGCGTAATGTCGCACTGTGAGGCTCTCTGGCTCAAAAGCGGCGGCGAAACATGAGAACATCATTTAGGAATTCAGGTTAGCGGGAGGATAAAGGTTAGCGAGTGAGATACGCCGACTGTTTCATTATCGAGAGAATAATTAAAAGCGGTGTTTAGAAGTAGAGCTCAAAGTAAGCCTGAGAAAAAAAGTGCGGAGAAACAACCCTGTTATATAACCCAGGGTTATATTATATGGAACAATATTTTTATTAAGATGTTAAAAAGTAAAATTTATTTACTTTATATTATGTACCTTACATAATAACCCATGCATATCCAACTGCTGGGTAAAGGCCTTCTCTGAACAGAGTGTATTAGGACATAGACTCACTAGTCTATGTCCTAATACACTGTACATGCACATCTGTAGTGACAGATTGGCGGACTTCACATATATTTGAAATATTTCTTTTCTGTTATTATTTCGAAAATATGTAGGTTTCCTTACGATGTTTTCCGTCACCGACTTGCGCGGATATTTAAGTCAGCACTTAAAATAAACAATTTCATTGGTGCCAGCACCGGAGAACTCAGGTTGCTCGAGTATAATCAATTAATCTCGAGTGCCCGGACATTGAGCTATCATGGCTCCATCATTTGAAAATGGTAAAATCGTGGCTAAAATAATATCAAAAGTATATTGCGGTCCTTCGATAGTTTTTTATAATTTTATTGAGGTTTCCGCCAAACCATTTTTTACAGCTTCCTTAGTAGACGAGTGCAATTTAGTGAACTGTTTATATAAAAACGGCATAATAGTGTTACTAACTATTGTGAATTGAATAAAGAAATGTTGATTATGACAACTGTTATTGGGAAAGGATGGATTCATTTCGACGGACAAATAAAACTACTTTACGTAAGCAGTATATAATAAATTTCAAATAAGAATAGGAACGCCAATGACCTCGAATGACCGCGATCTGACAACTGTCATTTGAAAAGTACAGCTTTAAAAAAATTTATATAAAAACGAAGCACTAAAGGTCTCTCTTTTTTACTTTTCAATACAAAATTTATTTGTAAATAAATATTCCTTCAAAAATATCTGTTTTGCTCGACCTGCCTAACTGGTTTGTACTGACAGCTATGACATTACAACATGGCGCGAGGTCAGTCCTATTCTTATTTGAATCGCACCTGATAAGTAATGTACATTAAGGGGTGTAATATATATACGCACCGGCTATTTCGTACCACCGACGTGAAGTCTCTGCGAGTAATACCTCCTGTTCATGTTTAGTGTAGTACACGTGGATGATGGTCGTGTTGACTAACGATATATCGCTCCTGGAAATCATGAGGAGAACACGTCTGGTTTCAAGTGGTATCCTGTTAATTGTGTGTAATTAAGTGTTACCTCAGGTTTATCTTCAATAAAAGCATACTCTGATAGTAAGAAATTTTATTTTACTACGTTTTTTAAGTACTTTACAAAATGAGTGTCTTTTTCAATGTGAGTAAATTCGTATCTCACGACACTTTCTCAGATGCATGCATACTTTGATTAAGTAAATTAAGTATCTGTTGTCATAAATTTATTACAGGGTAAAAATGTATTAAATAGTCTTACGATAGCGTGGTCGGGGCAAGTTTGTCGAGGTGATAGTGGGGGATTTGGGTGAGTCTAGCGAAGTATTGCGTTCTTGCGTAGTCCGGGAGGCAATCGCAGTGCAAAGCGCCTTCCAAGTCCTTTGGCGTGGAACCGCCAAAGTTACCCGAATGGTGTAGGAGCATCTCTGGAAGATGTTTACCATGTGACCGGTAGAGTTCCATTCGCCGAATCTCAGCGTTTATGCAATGCAGGTAATTCTTTTATTATGTTTATATGTACACCAATGATAGGGAGTGCATAAGTATACAAAATACTCCGATTTGTTTTGTGTGCGTCCCTGAGAATCAACTCTACAAATAATACTTACTTCTTGGCGAGCCCAGTTGCGTAAAGTGTAATTCAGGACTCAATGGGCATCCTCTAGGGTCACGGGTATTACGCAAAATATTTACTATTTACTCAATGAAATGTTTTATGAATCTATATTTGTATCGGCTTTCTTCATATTCATATTATAAACCAAAAGAATTTACAAGATTACTATATATACGAGGTTGTCGTCTCTAACCGGTCCAGGACATTAATATCCATTTAAAATATTATAATTCAATCACTTTGGACAAGAAATTTTGAAATTTATGACAAACGAAGTTAGTCCAGAGATAAACTAGGGTTTAAGTAGTATCACTATCGCTAACTTTAGTAACATAGATAATTCATGGCTTAAACTATAATAATAATATTTTTTTATCTATAAACCCAACCAGACGAGAAAACAAAGAAATATCCCCAACATATCTAATAATAAAATATCTTTATTCACATAGACGCTTGCGCGTTCTTATGAAATGTCGAAATTTTACAAGGAAATTAATATGTTCATAAGTTACCACCAGTTCGGAAAGCAGTTTCTGTTGAAAAGAAACCGGCAAGAAACTCAACAGTTGCTCTTTTTAAAAGGTCAGATTGAACGTTTAAGAATGGTAAAAACTTCGGTATCAAACTTAAGGGTTGTTTTGGAATAAGAGATGTTTGGGATTAGTTTAGAACAAAATCTAAGTTAAGATTTTGTATGTACAGTATGGGAAAATCAATTACGTTACAACTACCAATAACGTCGTCATGACGGCTGTGTCTTGTGCGGCCGTACCAACTGATGCAGTGTTGCAGTTATATCAGTGAGGAGTTGAAGGGGAGCTGACCGCGGTGTTTGATGAGGCAGTAGAGGTGGTCCAGCGAGCAGACGGTGGGCGGTTCGCGTATCGAGTGCAGCACGCGCATCGTGTGCGGCGAGCACTCGCACAGAGCGCGCACGGCCGCCTCCCGGCAGTGGAGCAGGCACCACACGAAACTGCGCCGCTCGGCGCTCGCGTGTCCCGGCTTGGGCATGCGGCATTTGCGCTGCAGAACACCGTTCATACCGTCACGCACTGCGGTTTCGGTACAGCCCTGTAGTCTTGGGCTAACAGAATAGGGCTGTGGTAAAACGCGACTAAAATGGAACACGGATTGGCAGCAGCTGCAGCAGTGCGCCGAGCTGCTGCAAGATGGCGAGGGAATCGGGGAAGGTCTATCTGCCCCGAGGCGTGCTCACGCGCCAAGTACCAAGTACCAAGGGCCACCGGTAGGAGATCTTTGAGTCCCTCCAAATGTACAGAAGGTGCCCACCGAGTAAAGGCTAAAACCCCACATAACCCTGTCATGTACCCCCAAAGTAATATTACCGCTTTTGTCTTCCACAATGCTAAAGAGGTTAAAATGAACTATATGTCGTATCTTGTAACATGTATCTCATTTTATGTAAAACTGTGTTTTTTTATGAGATAAAATTCTTAAACCTAATAGATATAATTAAATAGATAAGATTTCCCCCGATATAAAAAAACGGTTTGGGATTGGAGTGGAACGCAACTATAAGCGTGCGCGGCGGCCCCTCGATACTGCTCAAATCATTACTACAGGTGCGAAGACTCTTTCGTTGCGCAACAATCCTACAGTTACGCGTTGCAATCTTCACGTTCGCTTCTGCAGGTGCGACGGCCCTCATATATTATATATACCCGCATATTTTATAATCCGAATTTCGAAGTCTTTGCGGCTAATATTTTCTCTTACATGATATTAAATTATATAATACATACGTACATACAGAGAATTGCACTCACTACGCCGAAAAACTAGATAATTAAAATTATAAATATCAATTTGTCGATTTTTGTATATTCAGCTTCAAATTGGTTTGCACGAACGGAAAAGTGCATTAAGTTGAACGGAGAATCCTTCTAAAACCAATAAAATACAATTTAGCTATACCGTGCATGTGGTTTTTCTTATTCCCGATCACTTCAGTGTGCCCCTCCTTAAATCCTATATCTTGCGGGATCGAATAATCGATTCATGTGTTCATTTTCCGTAAAAATTGTTAGTTTTGGGAGTTCTAAAGTTTTTTAACAGACTCAATCTAGTTTGAAACTTATGGATAAAGGTTATTTGGTGTTTCTCATCTTAATATATAGTACCTGGAGGACCGAGCTTTGCTCGGTTTGTTTTTTTTTTAGTAAATCGTGTATTTTGGAAATTACATTTAGATACAAATTACTGAGTAATGAAATATGCATAATATTTTTCGATCTTACCGACGTAATAATAAGAAAATATGAACTGATGTTTTTCACAAAAGAAAGAACTTTAAAAAAAAGGGAAAAAAATAACAAAATAACAAATCGACAAAAAATTAAAAATAAAGAAAGCAATGATCTGGAATCGAAAAAAAGTAAAAAAATAAATGTGTAAATGATCGTGACGCGAACCACGGCCGTCTGTTTTAGGGCCGCCCGATTATCGACCGAGCTATTATGACATTTTCTCTTGCGGCGAAATTTACCATCATATTCGAATTATATTTTTCATTCCCTGAAAACAGGGATAAAAGGGCATTTTCTAAAAATTAAACCTAGCTAGATCGATTTTTCGCCCCCGAATCTATGCACATACTAAATTTCATGAAAATCGCTGGAGCCGTTTCCGAGATTCCGATTATATATATATATATATATATATGTATATATATATATATATATATATATATACAAGAATTGCTCGTTTAAAGGATAAGATAAATTACGTGTCACGTTGTTTGTCTGCGATGGACTCCTAAACTACTTAACCGATTTCAATCAAATTTGCACACCGAGTGCAGTTTGATCCAACTTGAAAGATAGAATAGCTTACATCTCAATTTATAGTCACAATATTATTTTATTGCAAATTATTTATTTATAAGATGACAAACAAGTTATCTGTGAGTTCCATAAGATTTTACCAGATGGCGGTGTAAGGTAAATTCATTGTCTGGATTGAGTAAGTATCTAATAGATGGCGCTATATTATAAGTCTAAACAGTAGATTTGGGGCAGACGAAGTTGCGCGGTCAGCTACTATGATATAAAACACAGTGTTACTTATACCCAGTTCTCGTTGACGTAGTGCAAACTTTGGTCAGCATGTTGTACTCGCGCCCTCAACCTGATGAAGACGGATGAATTATGGTTTGCCGGCAGCGATGTTACCACTCCTCCTCCCGTCACTGGGAACTCGTTACCCGCCCAGATCAGCACCTGCAAACCCTCAACCTTAGCGCTACTAATATTGGATCGCTAGTGAAATAATGCGTAACTCTATTTATGTCGGCACTGATAAATTTAAGGACAAAATCTCTTCGTATTTCCGATTCAAAAATGGAAAAAGTAAAATTTGGAGGCGATCAGGTTGTAGTTCGTCGAAGATGGTTGTTCGAAGATGGAAAAATATCACGTTTTGGTTAGTAGTTGATATATTTTTTTAATGTCAAACGTTGCCAAGCGAACAAATGGTTCACCCGATGTTAAGTGAATACCGACGCCCACATGCGACATAGGCACATGGACATCTGCTACACCCATCGCATTGTAAGCCTTGACTTTAGCTTTACCTTCACTTTATTATTTTATTTTCTAAAAAACACTGTCCTTACCGTATCATAACATTATCCTGTGTTGTAACGACTTGTAATATCTTGGTAACTGCGCCAGGGAGTCATTATTGTTTTGTTTCAAATCTTTAACTGAACCTAATTATAATTGCCATCAAAATTTCAAACGTAAATATGTAGTAAATGTAACAATAAGCTTCAATTACCGCAATAAATAAATTACTAAAAAATAATTCATTGTAGTCACCTCAATACCATTTAAAGCCCTCCGCACATAGGCTACGTCGTCGGTGTTCTCTCTAACCACCACTCCCAGGCCGGATTCCTCCCCCACCGCGTCTACTCTCTTTGGAGGAGTGTTGCGATCTTCTAATCTACACATGACAAAAATCTGATCTCATAGGGCCACGCATCAGCTTGCCGTTGCACGAATGGGCAGGCTCGTCCGGCGAAGTACCGTGGTCTCACAGAAGACCGGTGTTAAGTGGAAGTGCTGTACTTTCGTATTCCGTCCGGTGAGTGTGAACCGGGACCCACTTGTTTATTGATTGGCAACGCATCTGCAACCAGTCAGGTGCTGAAGACGTCTATGGACGCAGCAAAGCATCGCTTTTCGCATGAAACAACTCATTTCAATCGAAAACCTAAAACATAACATTAAAACTAGTTTTTAGGGATATTATTTATAATCGCTGATAAGGTATGACTGTAGATACTGTAATGTTTCGCTCGTTGCAAGAACTATATATTTTCAATTCAATTCAATTCAATTATTTATTTGCCATCTAAGTTTACATTATATAAATAGGTGTTAGATTTATACAGAAACTTAGATGCCTTTTCCAGGCACTGCAAATTTTTTAATGGACACTGCTCATTTAATTAAGTTAATGAATATAGAAAATGAACACAAAATAAATATAATAAAAAGAAAGAAAAATTTCGAAACAAACAATATGGTTAGATTTAAAAATATTTAAAAAAAAATCAGCTATATCAAAATTTCAACCCTATAAAGGTCAACATCACAGCTACTACCCGTCAAGAGTTGTTAATGTCGACCTGTACATGGAAATATACCGCATTCTGGTTTGCCATCTCCTCTGTAAAAATAAGGTATTTACTGGTATCGCGAATTGAAGGCACAGCAGAAACCATAACGGGTGAGGCGCACAGCAAACAGCTGTTCGCATGGTACCACTTGGAAGCGCCAAGTGCATCGTACCAGCATCGACGCGCAGCGCGGCGAAAGCTGCAAACAAAATGGGCTATTTGGTATTTGAAGACAAGCAGTGAACCCAATCATTTAGCAGCCGTATTTATGTTCTTTAAGAAGGAAAAAGCAGTAAATATTTACCTATTCCGTGAGGAGTTGCCATAGGACGCCTACCTGGGTGAAGGATGGAAAATGCCACCCAGATATGGGTGGTATTCCCCTATTTACGGAAAACCGTCGTGGATCAGAAATGGCTGGTTTTGGGGTGAAAACAAAAAGACGGCCAAGCAGAGATTCTGAAAAGGATTATCTGCGTAGATACAACGAGTAACACAGAGACATAGTCCAACTGCCACCAATGCCAGTGCAGTTGAAAAATTCAAAGCGAAAGGCCCGAAGCAAAGATATCCCCTCGCATTCATCGGTAGTTGATTTACTATTGGTGGTCGCGCCTGATTGTCCAATATTGGTCCTGTTGCAACAACTGCGTGGAATCGTGGCTAAAAGATCTGCGGCTGCTGTTTCAGCCCACACCAAAACGGACGTCTCAAGCTTTTACTCCAATGCTCAGAGGCGGATTAAACGATGAGACCGCTATAGACAACTATCTCATCGGCGCCCCTACATTAAAGTTGTAAGGTACGACTGGCATGTAAACCCCAAAATCATGAAATTCCCTATGTAATAATTTCTGGCTTTACACGCCAGTCGAACTCTTTAGTGTAAATAAAAAGTTTTAAATATTTATTCTCGAAAACTATAAGCGACCAGAGAATTCTGCTTGTTGATTATTTCATTAGTGTTTTTTCGCTACATTATTTTACAATTCCACCCGCGCGCCCCTTGCTACCCTCGCGCTCATAGGTACATGCCTAGTTTGCCCTAAGGATGATCCGCCTCTGCCAATGCTACAATCACCAGGTCATAATGTTTCCATTAAGATGTGGTGTAATGTTTCATGTACACCATTCCAAAGGTAATTTAACTCGACACATTCTCGCGTCCTTACTATTGAAACTTATTATTGAGCTTTAAGCAGGTAATGGCCCTGTCACTGTATATTGTACTGTTTGAAAAATACATTTCTCAATGTATTTTTATATGCTACCTGGTAATCACTGCTTTGTGAGATTAACGGTCAGTATTTAAGATAACTTAATTAACGTGTATTCTTACAGTGTAAAGTGGAAGTATAATACTTTCACATTTCGTCTGGTGAGTGAGGTAGCCGGAGCCCAATTTTTTAAAAATGTTTGACAACGCATCTGCAACCCTAGGGTGTAGTGGATGACCATGGGCGGCGGTATTCACTTTACATCAGGTGAACAGTCTGCTCGCTTGACAACTTTTCACATAAAAAAAATATGATGTACCTTCAGCATGATCTCGGTGATATTCCCTTCTTCGCCCACCTCCGCCAGGAACTTAGTAAAGCGGACATCCACGTCGACAGGCCTTAAAGCCGTCAACGCCCCAAAATGCAAAAGGTTGTGTTCAATCTCCGCCAGTGAGTACGTCCTATTACCGTCTCTCGCATTTCTTGCAAAGAAAAGGAGATCGAAGACGATATTTAAAAGGGGAAAGTAACAAGCGCCTAATCAAAATTAATAGCAATAAGCTAAAATAATGGAAGTTAATAATGCTTAATTACAAAGGCATTATGCATGAGTATATGTGGCATTCGGGAGATAAGAAGAGATAAGAAGTAGGCTGCGTCTTAACGAATTCATTACAATCATAGGTATTATATACGATTATATATCAGGAGTGGAGGATTTCCTGGTGGGCCGTGCCCACCACAGTATCGTCTAGTCCTGTAATGCGAAAGTTAAAAATATAGACCCTCGCGTCATTTACGTGGATTGGCGAATGTGCCGGGACCCACTTTATTTAACAGTTGCAACGCAACCCTACGGGTGTTGCAAATGTCCATGGATGGTGGTTATCACTTAACATCAGTTGAACCGCCAGCTCGTTAGCCACATTCACACATAAAAAAGTCAGCAAAAAAAACCTTCGTTCTTCGCATAATCGTCTTCGTGAATGTCCTTCTCACCGTTCTGACTTCATGCATTCTTCTTTCTTTATCCAGTCTAACCTTCACTGGAATGCGCTACCTCTCGAAATCAAGTGGGCTAAAAGTCTCTTTGTATTTAAAAATAAAGTTCTTGAGCATATCCTCAAAAACTTAGATGTGAAAACTTAGGTAGATCGATTCCATCGCATATTCCATAGATAAATTCCATCCTTTATACTATTTGTGCATAACGAGTAAATAAATAAATAAACATGTAGCTATCGATACGAAAACTGTAAAGTTGTCATAAATAGCTATGTTGCTAGCTGCCCGTAGAACAGCACTGCATGGATAAATTTATCAAAATAAAGACAAACATGTGGTGGAAGAAGAAATTTGATGCACCTTGGAAGGAAATAGAAAAGTGACTTTTATATCGAATCCACACTTGGTAGACGAAATTGGGAGTGATTTACCATCTGATATGGATGCAAGCGAAACTTTTCAGTATGGCAGGGAATTAAAACGTGGCAATGGGAGAAGAGAGGTTCTCCAGCACTCTTCTACTCTTCATCATATAGAAAATAAGTAAGGATTACGTTACCCCGGAGAAAGCTTTTAATGTTTTTTAATTAGTTAACACTATTCTTATACTACTACTAATACTTATATTACTTATTAGTTCATACTATTGACTTCTTGATTTTACGCGAATATTATGCATATTAACTGAAACTGGTTTACGGATTTTATCGCGTTTTTTATTTTGATTTTAATTTTCCGACGTTTCGAACCCTTTCTAGCGTTCATGGTCACGGGACAGACTAAGTTGTTACACGTTTTGATCTCCCCCACAGTTAACCCCGGCTACCGTCAATTAATACCGTTAGTTAATACTATTCTTATAAATGAATAAACATGAACAAGAACTGTTTTTTTTTTCATATGACACATAGAGTTCGACTTTTGTAGTGAAGGCCCAGGCCACCCTGAAAAAATAGCCCTAGATACGCCAATGATTACAATGTATCTATTTAAACATCATAGTGCTCCTAAACCCATGCACGGGCATATTAGTACTTACAAATAGGTGGAGTATTCGCGCAGAGCTGTGCGGCTTACTACATTGTAGCTGCAGATCCCCACTGCAGGGAAGTCTATGTGCTTGAGGGATTGCGGTGAGTAGAGTTGGCTGATGGTAACCGGTGGTGAGTCCGACGTCACTATGAAGTCTACTGCCGTGATTGTTACGGCGCAAATCAATGAGGCAGCCAAGATAAAATTGTAAAGATTCCTGCGAATCGCCTTTTGATGTCAAATTTTACTTTAAAAAATAATTTTGACATAGTATACAATGATCTGTCTCTGGTAACAGTAGGTGTAGGCTACATTTATGATATATGTACATGTAATATCGTTTATCAGTTATCCTTTACCTATAGCACAAGCTGTTTTTAAAGAAGCGTGAAAATATGTTCTTGTTACAAGCATAATACAAGCTTTCTGCCTGGTAAGAACTTTATTCAGCAGTCACAATAGACATTGTGAAACGTTGAATATTTGCTTTGTTTTAATTGCCATATTTTTTCATTATAACACAAATATTAGCTACCTATTACCAGGACTACGTAGTCATGCATTTCAAATGTCGATGTTTTCGTTATTTTCTATATAAATTAAATTTTTTAACCACTATCCCTAGCTGTTTAGACTACCGCACGAATTTCTTGCGGAATTTTTTACTGTGGTAGGACCACGCAACAGTGTTCGCTGTTACAACGAATGGGCACGTCCGTCCGGGTTAGTACCCCGACCTCACAGAAGACCGGTTTGAAGTAGAAACATTACATTTCTGCGTTTCGTCTGGTGACTGAGGTAGCCGAGGCCCTTTTTTATTAAAATTCCTGATTATTCCTGCTGTTATCACACTTACCGAATCAACTTATTGTTGCCCGAAATTTGGAAGTACCTGAGGCTAGCGATAAAACTATTCGCCCAGAACTCTTTCATAGCATCCACGAAGCTGTCTCTCAGGAGAGATTCGAATGCCTGTGGATTGGGGCTGCACGTGAAGAATCCTAAGATACTCTTCGGTTTGATGACAGTTTTGTACCACTTTTCTGGGTCTACGGTGCGCATCGTGCGACACCAAAGTGACTTAGCCAAAACTGGAAACGAACTGACAAGTCGCGTGACAAGAAGCCATACCGACAACCGATTAACCACACTGCAAACAAAAGTTGAAATTTATAATGCCTCCAACATCGCTACATATTTTTTAATGATAGGTTAACAAAAGTTATTATCTCTATTCGTGTTTGCTTATCAATTTTATTTAATCTTTGTAAGCGCTTGGTTAAAATAAAACTGTCGTGTCTTTGATTTCAGTAAGTTATATTGACATCTAGATAATACAGTGATGGTACAAATTTACCAGGCAGTGATTTTTACACGTTAGAAAGCAAAGGTCTGAATTTTACACGCATTGTAGTGGCAATTTGCAACTCGTTGCTAGCCGTCCATTACGTTATTGATGTTTTTTTCATTTGCAATATTTACAAGTCGATGCCTGCAAAGATAAAGCGTTTTGTGCTATAGTGAGTAGTAAAGATTAAGCGATTTTTACCTTGCGTGTGCTCGGCTTGAAACAGCTACCTAAAATTATTGCTAAATAAGATGTATGATGCCATATAAAATATATTTCTATTTCTCCGCTGACTAGCGTCTGTTGAGACGACCTTAATATTATGACCGGTGACCAAATATTTTAGAGTCAACATTTCCTTGACAGACTCATTAAGATACCTCTTGATTATTTTGTTAACCGTTTGGAAATAACTGCTTGATATTTACGATCTTAACAAACAAAATAAATAAACATTACATATATAAACGTCATAGCCGTGATAGCCGTGATATCAGTGTCTGGACTCTTCATTTAATTTATTATACTTTAGTAACCTGCATTCAAATACCGGTGTGGACCCCGAATAAAATTATTAATTTCAATATTAAGTGCTAACATATCACGTTCCTATTACAACATCGTGAGGAAAACTGCATGTTTTTTTTTAATAATAAAAGGATATTGCGAAGGTACGTGAAGTCTGCCAATCCTTAGTGGGGCCATGTGATGGAGGACTGTCTGTCTGGAGCTACGGAAAGGCCTATACCCAGCAGTAGGAAATATATAGTGTTACTTTACGTTACTTTTATTTAAACGTCGCTCGTTGTCTTGTGGCGAACTTTCGTATGATTTTATTAGATCAATGTAAATAATTCATTATGTTGTTATAGGTACGAAAATCACTTATCTATAGTCTGCAGAGAATAAGTAATTATTTTATGGACAACGCTTTTACACAATCCCAGAAAGCGTTCACAATGTATTAATTGCTAAAAAATTGTAAAGGAACGTTTTTGTATAACATGTGATTATTTATATGATAAAACAATCTGGACGCAGAGTGGACTTTAATACATTGAAAACATGTTGCTTTGTTTTATAATTTAAAAAAAAATGTCCCGCTGAGTTTCTTTCGCCGGTACTTCTCAGGTCAGTGGCTTTTTCCGAACTGGTAGTAGTGTTTTGACAGTCAATAAGTGCAATGCTTCTATACTGAGTAAAAATATTTGATTTTGCATATAAAATTATTCCGTCAATTAAAATTGTAACAATAAGCGAAAAATCAAACAAAGTGTATAGAACTATATTTACCGTTGTCATTGCGTTGTAGAATATATATATATATATATATATATATATATATATATATATATATATATATATATATATATATATACATAATAATACATACATATAAATATAATAGTAATATAAAATAAACCGACTTATACGTTGTAGTGAAACTAATAAATTGTATTGTTACGTGTTAGGGGTTCGAAGGATTTGGAGAGAAAGACCTGCTGACTCTTTTGAAGACTTTATTCAAGGACTAGGTCCAACACAAAGCACTAAGCACTAACGATGTCCCATTTGGTAGCCAAGTCGTAGGTTTCACTGGTATCGCTCTTGATCAATAGTTTTCGCTCCGAAGTCGCCTCGAAGGTAGCTCAAACTGAACTGTGATCGCTCGCCTCCCTGCGGCTTTTTATATGGGCCGAGACCGGTTCCGGACTAATCCAGAAAGATCATTCCTGGAACGTACCCGACACGCACGAACATGTTCGTGATTCCGGAAAGTTCGCGAATCTACCCGGTTTTCGAGACTATAGTTCCACAGCAGTTCCTCTAACGCCATCTAGTGTTGAATAGGGGGTTTTTATGTCGTCTTTGTTCTTTAGTGGTTTTAATAGTTGACGCTAGATGGCGTTAGTTCCTTTGTGTGTTCATAACACTACTCCCCTCTTAGAGATGCTCGTCCCGAGCATCATTGTTACTGCCATGGTAACGCGCCAGACGGTCTATGTGTACCACTTTGAATGTCCCTCTTGGTTGCTTTTGAATCCTATAAGTCACATCATTCAGTCGGGTAACCACTTTGTATGGACCGTCCCACTTGGTCTGCAACTTTGGGGATTTCCCTTTCCGACGAGTTGGGTTATGCAGCCACACCAGTGACCATTCGTCGAAGCCGTCCGTGTTCGATTTCCGGTCGTATCTGGTTTTCATGTTCTCACTTAACTGTAACCCATTTTCCCGAACCAAGGCGTGTATATAGCGCATTTTTTTTCTTAAATTGCAGACATAGTCTTGTACGGTCTCTGGTCCCTCCGGTGACCCTCCTGTCAATAGGTCTACTGGTTATTGTAGTTCTCTACCGTAATTGACATACGCCGGGGTAGCTTTTATGCTCTCATGCTCGGCGGTCCGGTACGACAGAAGGAAGAGTGGTATATACTTTTCCCAATCCTTTTGTTTGTCGTCTACCAATTTCGCCAGATGCCTCTCAATGGTCTGGTTAAATCTCTCAACCATTCCATCAGACTGTGGGTGGCACGCGGTGGTCCTCGTCTTATGCATGCCCAAAATTCTACACACTTCCTGGAATACTTGCTATTCGAAGTTCCTGCCCTGATCGGAATGGATTTCTAGAGGCACACCAAAGCGACATATCACTTCTTCGACGAACTTAGAAGCGACTGTTGTAGCTTCTTGGTTTGGTATAGTGAACACTTCGGGCCATTTGGTGAAGTAGTCCATGACGACCATAAAATACTTGTTTCCCGACTCCGTTACAGGAAATGGCCCAGCTACGTCAACTGCAATTCGTTCCCACGGTGCACCGACGTTATACAACCGCAGGTTCCCACGGCTTCTGGTATGTGGTCCTTTTACAGCAGCGCAAGTAGTACATTTGCGGCACCAATCCTGTACATCATCTCGACAGTGCAACCAGTAGAATCGTTCTCGCACTTTTGTTAACGTCCTCTTGACACCTAGATGACCTCCTGATACGCCATCATGTATTTCACGGAGAACATCTGGTACTCTCGTTCTCGGGACAGTTATCTGAAGATGGGACACTCTGCCGTTAGTCTTCTCCCATTTCCGGTAGAGTATTCCGTTTTGAAGTATCAGACTGTCCCATTGCGCCCAGTACGCCTTTGTGACGACGCCAGTGGGAGTGCGTCGGCATTCCCATGCGTCTTTCCACTGCGGTGTTCCGTCTTGAAGTCATACTCCTGGAGCTGTTCAATCCATCGAGCTACTTGACCTTCTGGGTTCTTGAATTGCAGTAGCCACTTCAAGGCTGCGTGATCAGTTCGCAGTAAAAACTGTCTGCCGATGAGATATTTGTTGAAATGTTTTAGTGTCTTTACAACAGCCAAGAGTTCTCTTCTTGTCACACAGTAGTTTCTCTCTGGCTTGGATAAAGATTTGCTGAAATATGCGATAACAACTTCTCTTTCACCCTGTTTTTGAGATAACACCCCTCCAATGGCCGTGTTGCTTGCATCCGTGTCGACTATAAACTGACCTTCAGATTGTGGATACCCCAGGATTGGTGTTTCACATAGATGTTTCTTCAATTTCTGAAAAGAATCTTCACAAGTCCCATCTCAACTAAATTGTCGTTTATCTTCTGTCAGTCGATGTAATGGCTTGGCTATCTCTGAGAATCCTTTAACAAAACGCCTGTAGTATGAGCATAGGCCGAGGAATGCTCGCACTTCGGTTTTGTCCTTAGGGGTAGGCCATTTTTGAACTGCTTCCAGTTTCTCCGGGTCTGTCTGGATTCCATCATTGGAGATAACATGGCCGAGATAGTTGACCTTGCTCCTGAATAAACGACACTTTTTCGGGTTCAACTTTAATTTGGCTCCCTCTATTTTGGCGAAAACTCGCTCCAAGTTTCGCAAATGGTCCTCGAAGTCACGGCCGACAATGATGATGTCATCTAAGTAAACTAAGCAAGCCTCTCCAACTAAGCCTGCAAGTACACACTCCATGAGTCGCTCAAATGTGGCAGGTGCGTTGCACAAACCGAAGGGCATGACGTTAAATTGCCATAAACCTTTACCGGTCGAGAAAGCTGTCTTCTCCTTGTCTTTAGGATGAATTTCCACCTGCCAGTATCCAGATTTCAGGTCTAGGGTCGAGAACCATTTCATGCCACTTAAGGTATCCAAAGTGTCGTCGATTCGAGGTAACGGGTAACTGTCCTTCTTAGTGACATCATTGAGACGCCTATAGTCCACACAAAATCTCGTGCTACCATCTTTCTTCTTCACTAACACAACAGGTGAGCACCACGGACTTGTAGACGGTTCAAAGCTGGTACTGGTATTCTAATCTGTGAAGTGTATGTAATAAAATGAAATCATCCTCCTGCCCTTATCCCACCTTTGTGGGGTCGGGACAACATGTGAATCATGCTGTAAGTGGTATTGGCTTGGTATTTTACGACCGGCCGTCAGGCAGGCCTGACGTCAACCTTGATTTGGAACAAACACCCAGATCCGAAACCATTATAAGTATGTAGGTCACACAAATACTTGTCCCGTGTGGGAATCGAACCCATGACCCCGTCGTTTTAAATTAAATAATATTCCATATGCATATTACCTATGAACGCGATTACGAATGAGTAGAAGAAGTTGGAAAAACACAACGCTCCTAATGATGTGGGGTAGTTATTCGATGCAATCTTCAGTAAAACGGCGGGGTAATTTTCAGTAAATTGGCACATTACCAATTACATTTGTATAAAGCCAAACGGAGTGAGTTCTGATGTCAGTATTACGAGGAGAATGATGCGACCGTTGCTTATACTGAATTGTCTGTTTATTTCGCAAGCTCTCTTCCACCCCGTGAGTATTTTTGGTATCTAAGTTTTTATTTAGTTTGAGGTATGACATGTCTCTAGTTATTTATCATTCTGGGATATTAGATCTGAATCCATTAGAAATTTATTAAAAAATAAAATAAATTAAGAATTCAATAAGGAACATACACAGAAGGAACTGAACTTTACCAAACTATTTTATAAGGTATAAAACTCTTGCACATTAGTTGAAACCAAATCTTACTCACGCAATTGTCAAGGTGGTTTGATAGATGGAAGTACAGAATAAAACTTATACCGAGTACTTTTATACTTGTATTGCATGAATGGGATGGCTGTATCTGGAAAACGTCACGCCACGTAGCAGACCGGCTTGTAATGTGATTACAATTTACCATTTAGTCGTGTCATTGAGGTAAACGAGACCTTTTATCCTAGCTCATGAGTTTACCAACACTTGAGCCATGTGCTCGTATAGCGTCTATGTAATGAAAGTTTCGAAACCAGCTGTACCACCCCACGGAGCGCACACCGCTGGCCGCTGTGAACGAGCTGACGTCACGTCTGTCTGCCCACCCCAGTCGCCTGCAAGAGCCGCGGCTGCCTCCTAACATAGAGACCATCAAGAAAGTCGCTCAGATCCTCATCATGCTCGGCGAACAGGTACTGGTAGAGGGTGGGTCTAAGTTGACTTTGGTAGGGCCACGCAACTGTGTTCGCTGTTGCACGATTGGGCCGGTCCGTCTTGAACGAAATAGAAGTGTTACACTTCTGCGTTTCTTCTGGTGAGTGAGGTAGCCTAGGCCCACTTTATTACAGGTGGCAATGAATCTGTAATCCTACGGGTGTTGCAATTGTCCATGGGCGGCAGTTATCACTTAAGATCAGGTAACCGCCAGCTCGTTTGCCACTTTCTCACATAAAAAAAAGTTGTTTAAAAGGTAATCGATTGTAAATATGTGATCATTTTGCTTTGATATATTTTATATCAAAGCAAGATGATCAGATTAGGTAGTGATTCACATAATCACTAATATCTAATCAGTTACTAAATGAATCATCTCAATATTTTCTTCAAATTAAAGTTTTTGTGTCTGCGAATTTTCTTAGGATATTAAAAATATTAAAATGAAAAATAACAATAAGGTGCAAATATTGTCAAGCCTAAGATAGGTAGGTAAATGTGCGGAATCGTGAATCACAAACATACATTTTTATTAGATGACACGTGTTTGTCAAAATGCTTCTAAAAAAATGTAATTTTATGTGAAGGACCTTTTGTTTCCGTATTAAAAACATAGCCGTTAATTTAGGATAACATTATCCTGTGTATTAAAAAACGTTTTACAAACATACATTTCACGTGCACAAACACCCAGATAGGAAACATTCTGTGGGTCACACAAATAGTTGTCCCGTGTGGGGATCGAACCCACGACACCGACGCCGAAGCCAATACCTTGGCAACTGCGCCACGGAGTGAATTATTACTGAATAAGATAAGTAGGTACGTAAAACCTTCATTTATGTCTTTATAATGCAGGTAATACCGGGCGTAATAGGTGAGCCTCCACCCCATGCGGCTGTGCCCTCACCAAGTGAAGATATACCCAACGACCCTGTCGCCGATAGGTAGCCACTAAAATTACCTACATAAAAGGTTTCGTAATACCGTCAAAACTGTTTGTTTAGCGACGGTAATAACTTTGAATAACTTTCATTTAATATTTTAATCATAGTTTTACAAAAGTTACAAATGTTTATATATATTTATGATTCAGCCATATAATTATTTTCAAAACCATGTTGAAAATTTTAAAGACTGCAAATATGTTGCTAAAACCCGACGTACAGTAATTGGGAGAATTTTTGTCATAAGTATTAATTGCGTTTTCCCTGTATTAATTTTTGGCTTGATTTTAAGATAACATTTGTATTGTGAAATCAAAAACTAAACACTGTATGTCGTTGATTTAAAGTAAAGACAAGTACACCGTCACATGTAACATGATAATAAGGCAAAGTACAACCCTAAAGAAGTGGAAATGTTAAGGCTTCCCAAAAGGCCAAAGTAAAACCTTGGAGGAAACAAAGCCGAGTGTTCTAGAAAATTATAAAGATTTGCGATTAATTTGTGGTTACCTTCTGAAAAACTTACCATTAACCGTACCATTAATTATCTAGCACTTCTATCGTCTAAAGCTCTAGAACTATTTAGAACTCTACCTGGCCCATTGAGCAAAATGCAAACAACTCTGTAAATATAGCCCTTAATTATACTTGTTTTTTTTTTTTTATCTCTGTTTATATTAGTTCTTAAGTTAATTTTTATTCTTGGCTTTTATTTTCTGTTTACTTTAAAACCATGCTGTGTCTCTACATCTAGTACAATGCACTTTTATTTTATTTTTTTTACTTTATTGTACACAATTATATATATATATAGAGGAACCTCATTACGAAACGGTGGTAAATTTAAAAAAAAATATGACTATTGATAAATGAAATGTAAGTTTATTATGTCGATGAATAAATGATTTTGATTTTGATTTTTAATTTTATAAATTTATGTATAATAATAAAACAAAGTTTAAATAATATATACAAATACATACCTACATACAATGTAAATACATACAAACATTTGTTGTCAATCCTAAGTAGATAAGTAGTGTCTCTTGATTCTATTACGGAAAACGTCAAGGGAAGAGCTGGCACGTATGTCATGTGGTAGTGAATTCCATAACTTGACCGCCTTTACAGTAAATGACGCATCGTACCTTATGGTGAAGTGAGTAGGTGTTTTAAGAAGTAGGGATTTCGTAGTCCGGCATTTAGTTCCACTAGGAATCAGATATTCAAACCGCTGACGGAGATATGAAGGAGGTAAAGGATTAGATTATAAGAAATAAAGGAAGGATAGTACATGTAAGTCTCGACGTCTACGTATGGGAAGCCACTGTAATTGTGTCCTGTAATCAGAAATATGATCAAACTTACGCAGGCCAAAAACGAATCGAATGCACAAATTCTGGAGTCGTTGCAGCTTGTTCAGTAATTCTTCTGTAGCGTCCAAGAAACATACATCAGCATAGTCAATAAGAGGCAGAAGAACAGCATGAGTTAAAGTGACTTTTGTTTTAATAGGAAGAAAATACTGAAGGCGTTTGAGAGAATGCAGCGTGCCATTCACTTTTTTGCTTACAGAATCAATATGCGATGCCCAAGACATGTGACTATCAAAGATAACACCCAAATTTTTGGCGGTATCTGTATATGGAATCTGGATGTTGTCATATAATACAGCAGGGAGTTTTGATCGATCTAAAGTTTTTAGCACATGTGAGCTGCCAATTATAAGCACTTGTGATTAACTAGGATTGAGGAGTAAACCAAAAGACTTAGCCCACAAGTTTATAGCACTCAAATCCTGATTTAGTAGAGAAATAGCACAATTTATATCTTCTGACTCAAAATGGCGATACAGCTGCAAATCATCAGCGTAAAGGTGATAGTGAGAAGTGAGGACAGTAGTAAGAACGTTAATGAAAATAGAAAAGAGGAGAGGAGAGAGAACGCTTCCCTGGGGAACCCCCATAGCTAGATCGCACCACTCAGAATATTTTTCTTCGTGGCGTACACACTGTGAGCGATCTCTCAGGAAAGAATCAAACTAGGAAATTATAGAGCTTGAGATTTTTAAAGATGAAAGAATTCCTAGAAGTATATCATAGTTCACAGAGTTAAACGCGCTGCTGAAGTCCAAAAGTGTTAAAACAGAGAGAAAGTTATTGTCCATAGCCCAGCGAATGTCGTCTGACACTTTTATCAGAGCACTGACTGTGCTGTGGCCAGGGCGAAAACCAGATTGAAACGGACTCAAATGGCCATGAGAAGATAAGAAATGAGAAAGTTGCTTATGCACTAATTTTTCCAAGATTTTGGACATTACCGGAAGCATCGAGATGGGGCGAAATTGTGACAGGGATGTGGGCGTGGAGATTTTAGGAAGGGGAATAACGCATGCCTTTTTCCAACAAGAAGGGAAGGAGCTCGTGTCTGGAGAAGAATTGATGAGTTAAGTGATAATAGGAGCCAGTTCGGTGTGTACTTTTGTGTTTGAAACTATTGGAAGTTGATGAACTTGTCTAAATGTAGTAGGTATTTAGTTTTGCAAACCTAAGAAAGTGATCAAATGTGCATTTTAATTATAAAATCATATCAGTATCCTTTGCGCCTTTTAATAAAACTTAATTTTCTATCCTTTTTAGAAAACGACATACGAATATGTTTTCTTTATTTTCTAAGAATTTTACAACGTTCAACGGTAGTATTAAGTTCGGTAAAATAAGATTATTATGTTAATACTAATCTGTAATACAAATTATTACATATATTTTATTGAATTTTTAAGGCTTCTGTTGCAAGTTGTTTATAACAGAGGTTTCTCCAATTATTTCTGGTATGACCTGAAAATACATTATTTAATCAATTATACTATATCGATTCTAATCTTTATGGGAGTAGAATGTTTTTTTTATTTGGACAATAAGAATACCTGTTGGATAATAAAAAAAATAGTTTGCAATTTAAAGCGTTATTACACGGACTTCTGAAACACTAATAATTTTAACGATGAATTAGAGTACTGTATATTTATATAGGTATTAGAATGGAGCGATAATATTATATTATGACTAGCTGCTGCCCGCGACTACGTCTGCGTAGAGGGGTGAAAATTTAGGATTGTATGTATTTTTGTATGCTGTGTCATAAAAAATTAGAAACAAAAAGTTTTATATAAAAAATAAAAAAAAAATTAGGGGTGGACTACCCCTTTAACATTTAGGGGGACGAAAAATAGATAGTAGCCGATTCTCAGACCTATTGAATACGCATATAAAATTTGGTAAAAATCGGTCGAGCCGTTTCGGAGGAGTTCAAGTTCGAACCCCGTGACACGAGAATTTTATATATTAGATAAAACAGCCAGTAAACTGAAACGGAACGTTACCTTACCTGTTCACCGAGTATAACTAGTATCTTCGACACCTTTCTCAGGGCTTTAATAATATCCTTAGCTACGATCTCAGAACCAGTAATGGTTGTAGAAGCAGAAGAAGATGTGTTTATGGAGGCAATTGTGGATTCTTCGCGAGTCTTAGACGTCGAGGTATTTATCGTTGATGATACAGTCGTTACATCCTCAAATGTGACGGTCGTGTGCTTGTTATTTTCTATGGATTCTATTCTTTTACAGATATCCTGGAAAAATTAAACATACATATTGAAACTGTGTATCAGTCCCCCTAGTGGGACCTGGGTCATTGCTACCTTTTTTAAATCCCGCATTTCTTGAACTACGGTGGAAGTGGGAGTGGACGTGGCATCAATTTTCATGTCTTCGGAAGCCACAGATGTGTAGTCATCGAAGTTCCATGATTCCCTTGTAAGATCTTCAAATTCGATCGTGCTGTGCTCTGTGGTCTCTGGCAATGTTGTACTTTTGTTATGAACCTGGTAACATTCAGATAAACTTGTTAGCTAATCTATTTCTAATCTAGTTATTTCACATAGTAAAATCGCGAACCACTCTCGGCGCGAAAAAAAATCTCGCAGCACCGAAAGCAGCCGAAAGTTTTCGTTCTTTTATCTACAAAATGTTATAATTTAAGGTTTCTTTTTAAATTAAAACTAATGCCTTTAAGACTGCTTTGAAGGAGATATAAAAATCTTGCCGAAACCAATACCACCTTTTAATAAAGTGTATTTGAAAACATCAACTCCAACCAAAATTTGGAAAAACCCTCATTGAATGACACCTTTCTCAATGGAGGAATGATTCAAACGAGAATACTTAATCAAAGAGAAAGAAGATACGCCTATTATTTTATACCGACTGTGCAATTGTTGCATTAGTTGTCTGTGGTTCGTGGATAATTTAGCACAATTACACAAATTGTGCTAAATTATCCACCTTCACCTAAGAGGATTCCAGTCACAGTATATTATACACCGGCATAAATGTTTCTCGGTTAGAATCTCTATGCCCTCCGGCTTCTGTCATTTATCAATAAACTCGATAAAATAAAACCATAGTTTTTCAATGACCTCTTTACCTCATTACCTAGCCCAGCCAGGATACGCGCCACCTTTTTTAGGGTTTGTAATTCATCCTTATTTATGGTAGCAGTAGTTGTGGGTACGATACTATTAGTAGCAGCACTGGTAGTAGAACCGACTGTTGAGTCATGGTAAGCCATTGACGTATAGTCTTCAAAGTTCCAAGGTTCGTTTATAAAATCTTCGAACCTGACCGGTCTGTGCTCCATGGCGTCCGGCAATCCTTTTCGATTATAATAGATCTGGAAGATTAAATATAAATAAATAATTTGGATTAAGGTCGACCTATTAATCGGTATTGGTGGAGATGAAACACCAACGTAGCTGATACCACACAGCAGCTTTTGCTGTTATCTTAATACGGGTGTAATAAAAAACATACTTTAATATTTTAAATGGTAAGCGAGATTACCGCACATAAACCATTATCACTTCACAAAAAGAATTTAAAAATAGCAAGTCTGTTCTGTCAAAACATGTTTGTCTTTTGAATCAGCGGGAAAGACTCTTAGCCCATAACACAAGAGAAAATCCTCTCTTTAAGATATTCTATCAGCTGTTTCTATATTCAGGCAACAGTGATCTTACCATAGGAAGAACCGCTTGCTTGTTTACCATCTACACCGATCCTGTACTTTCGAGATAAACAAACGAAAATGCTCTTTACCTGTTTACCAAGTAGCGTCATTATCCGCGCCACCTTTCTCAGGACTTGAAATTCCTCCTTAAGTAATATATTCGTCTCGGGAGTAGTAGAAACGCCCGGTCTCAACTCGTCGTACACTAGAGACTCGAAGACCCAAGGGTCCTTTGCAACATTATCAAGTCTCTGCACAATGTTATCCATCGGTCTTCCGCTTTCGTAATGAATCTATCAATATTGAACACAGTTTTGACAAAAGATTCATTCGAAATCAATAGGCTGGATTAGAAATTTAAAACTATCGCTAGTAGTTTTTGAGACTGAGCTCTTTTAGTACCACGTGGATTTATATTTTTAAATCAATTTACATTACATTTATAACAGCTTTAGATGTTGGGATACAAAACTTGAAGTCAACGATTAGTTTTTGAACGATAATAATGTAAATAGATATGTAGTACAATACATAGCATATTCTTAAATTATTATTTACGAATGATGGACTAGCTTTATAGTTTCTAACGTATAAGAATACATTAAATAGCAGAGCTTCTATACCAGTCTCAGTTTTATAGTATATAAAGTTTTGAGAAACTAAGAAAATTACGTATATGACTAAAATATTTTCATTGATTCTTTTCAACGAACTCTCCACCATTCTCTCTCTCTATAAAAAAATCATGCGTCTCAACCAATTTTTAAAGTATTGTTTGCAGTCCGCCGCAGACACCTCAGAGCCTTCTCAAACGCTGTTAGTCGCGAAGCAGTCTTCCCGCGATGAAAATTGTATACCATACAGTCGTTTTTTTTTATTTTTGAGAATAAAAAGAAGGTAAGCGTTGCCAGATTAGGACCCTAAGGAGGGTGACAAAAGATTTTAACCTTTGTAGTGTCCAGAAAGGTCCTGTTTTTGAGAGCTAATTGCACGGGCGAGTTATCATGGTGAAGCAGTACGCGGCGGAGGCCGGTGTTCGGCCGATGTTCGGCTAGTTGCTCAATGCAGTTCTTCTTTGAACTTCTTTGGTTGATGCCGCTTTGATTTCGTAATGGAATTGATACCAGACACCCACTTAATGTGAAGAAAATAAAATCTATCTATAAAATCTAAAAATAGCGATCAAAATTTTCCCCGCATTTCTCGATCGCTTCACTTTTTGGTTCATTGTTGTTCAGTTTGAATTCGTTATGCCCACGGTAGATCAAACAACTCGTCCAGTTTTAAGCCACATTTGAAATCGTGAAAAATCACCGTACGAAAATGTTTCCGATACAAGTCCATTTTTACATGAGTGACAATAAATCCATGTAGGTCTAAAATTGTGGAGGGATATTCGAAAATTCGAACAATGTTTTTTTACTTATAAATAATTAAACTTTTTAAAATAATTGTAATCAGCTAAAGCCTCATAAATAAAAACTTTTATTTTCGCAAAACTATCTAAGTGGCGTGATATATTATTAGTGATAGATAGTTGACGAGGTGTCACGAGGTAGTTCGTCATAAAAAGATAAACAAGTTGGTTAGTAAGGTACTTACAGGGTAGCATGAACCTCCAACAACCAAATACACTATGTAAATATATACAAAGCCCATAACTTCGGACTTCCGTTTGGCTGACACCGTTGCGCTGACGCTAAAAAGGTAGGACTGAACTCGGCATCTAATCTATCCCCGCCGCAAATATGTGATGTTTTTCCTTTAAGCATTGTCTTTTACAGTTCCCGTTTGTTTCAGATAAATTTCATTGATGTAATACTATAAATATTCCGTGTTTGTATTCATAAATTCCTTTTCATTATGTTATTGTTAATGTATGTACCAAGAATTTGTCGCATATTTTTCTAGGCAGATTGATTATTTATTTGACTGAACCATCACTTATCTACGCCGGATGATATTACGACCTAGTCACCGTTTGAATAAAATAAATCAAATTATTAATTATGTTGAAAGCGATTAATGCCAATATTATGCACACCTATAAAACGTTTTTCTTAAGAATTTTCTTAATGTTAATATTAATGCTCCTACAATCTTAGTTGTATACTGCATACAACATAGTCAGTGAGTGTACGATACGGCATAAATAATAAAAAAAAAGTTTTTAATTACTTTAAAATAATGGCATACAGTCTGATTATCAAAATTTACATAAAAAATGATGAATATTTCATCAAACAAAAATTACAATAAATTGCTGCTGATTTCATGTTTAAATAATTAAGTATCATTAAAAATAAAAAGAGATAAGACAGTTTCTTGCCCCATCTTTACTGGTCAAGTCCAATTAAGTGAACCGGTGGTAGTTTTCTTTGACGTTCAGTTCAGTACGACCTTACATTGAATTAAGCCTATATTGAATTAAGAATTAGAAGAAAAAAGAAATTTGATTATGACTTTTAAATTTAAATAAAACCTTAAAGCGTTCATCATTAATTTATGGGATAACAGTATCATTAATTACTAATACTCTCTTTAGATCGTGAATGCTATTTAAAACAATTTTATAACCACCATATAAAAGTTTTTACATTCTAGTAATACGTATTGTCGGAATCGTTCAGGTACCTTGGATCCGTTCTGCACGAGTCCGGAAGCATTGACCATGACGTCCAAGCCCGGATACGCGCTGCTTGGGCTAAGTGGCGAGAGGTTACAGGTGTGGTCTGCGACCGCAGAATACCGCCCAAGCTCAAGGGCCAGGTGTACAAGTGCATCATCCGACCGGTACTTCTGTATGGTAGCGAGTGCTGGCCAGCTCTATCTCGGCACACTCAAGAGCTTCACGTCACGGAGATGAAGATGCTTAGGTGGATGTGTGGCGTCACGCGGGCTGACCGCATACGTAGCACATTTATTCGAGGCAGTCTCGGGGTTCGTGACGTAGCGGATAAACTCCAAGAGCGGCGCCTGAGATGGTATGGCCATGTCGCACGCCGGTCGGAAAACTATGTCGGAGGGATATGCCTTCATATACCTGTCCCAGGAACTAGACCCCCTGGACGCCCAAGGAAGCGATGGCTGGACGTCGTGGAAAAGGACATGAGAGCCAATGGACTGACCCCTGCGGATGTCGAAGACCGGGCAAAGTGGAGAAGTTTAAGTAGGAAGGCAGACCCTGGCAATAGCCGGGATTAATGCCAGGTAGAAGAAGTAGTACGTATTGTATTTAAAGGTTTTTACATCAACTGTCAATGAAAATTTTTGAGCAATGAGCATATCGATCATTTTTTTTACACTGAACTGCATATGTTCGCACTTAGAAAAGGTGAATTCTTTCAGTATACAATACAATGGCATTTCGCAGATTGCATGAGTAAATAAGGTGCCGTAAGGATTTTTTAAGGCTTTCCAATCATTTCGTATAAATATTATTGAATGGTTTCCAGAATACACTGCATTACTTCAAGATATTGCGTACTAGTGCATTGTATCTTGCATTTAGGTTTTTTGAAATTTATTATTTCCAAAAACATTATAAAACCCCGGAAGAAACTGAGATTTTCAAAACGTTTCGCAGATGATATTGATGAGTGTATTAAATAACATCTTCCTACAGTGCATGACTTCTGAGTTTTGTATATTTTTAACTTTTGACAGGTTCTATTTTTTGAAAGATTTATTATTCACGAGGCGTAAAGGTCTCGTTAAAAAAATAATTTGAGAATAAAAATCAATGTGCATTTTTAAGGATCTCATATGTAGTTTGGCTTCCACTCCATAGCGATGTTAGGAATCGTTTCGATTTCCATAAATGATCCACTTTTTATCACATTTGAGAATCCGATAGGAAACCTCATATGTATGTCTCTACAACAAGTTAAGGCAAGCTTTGAACGATTATGTTGCTCTGTTCTGTGCGCGCACGCTGTATCTTTCCAATTTGACGTTAATGAACAGCATTATTTTATTATTTACAGGGAATGATGTTGATTCCGACGTCGGTTGAGATGAATCTGCTTCTATAATAAGGTCGACATGTATAACAACGACCTCATAGAGGACCGGCGTAATGTGGAAGTAATATACTTCTGTGTTTCGTCTAGTGAGTGAGGTAGCCGGGACCCACTTTGTTAAAAGGTGGTAACACGGCGGCGGTTATCGCTTAACATCAGCAAACCGTCAGCTCGTTTCTCACAGAAACAAAAAAACATATTCGTCACGGAAAATAAAACTTCATAGCTAGGCTATATGCAGATGGAAATCCTCACGGCATCTGCAGTGTTGCGGATGTATGCTCACAGCGATGGTTACGTGAGTGAACCTCTTGTTTTTTTTGCCATCTACTTTATACAAAACAAAACAGAAATAGGGGATTGTTAGAACTGTAAAGCACTTTTATGGTCAACTGGCATTGTGAGTGGCAATGGCACGATACTTGTCGTGTGCGTCTGCTCCACTACGACACGAACCTTCGCGCTCATCGGTTCAGAAAAATTCCAAATGAAATACCATGGCGATTGCGTGATCGTGGCTTGCGTTATTGCCGCGCATCGCTTGGATCCGACCGGTTCGTGTTATTAAAACCTTTTGTGTTTAAAATAAACGACGTTGGTGAAATTATTTTTATAGCCTGACTGAAAAGCCATAGTCACCAATATGGACCATTAGGTACAGTCCGATAGTTGTAGTTTAAACCCACTTAAACGTAATTGGGTTTAGATCTTGATTTTTAGATGAAGTAGAAAGTGCTCTAGTAAAAATGTGAACAAATATTTGACCGTTAAATCGCTCTGATGAGGATATTTGTCCTCTTGACTTTATATAACCTGAATTTATTTTACTGTACGACATATATGTTTGTTGTGGTAGGAATCTTTAAGCTAAGGTTGTATCGATTTATTGTCAAAGACTGTATTATTCACATTTTCGGCATTTACACCCAGTTTCCGAAAGCGCAATCAATTTTAATTTACGATAAATCTCTTGTCAAACGTTGTTTAACATGATGAGTTGCTAGAACGTCTGAAAACAACATTGATTTTTATTTGCAATTAGTCACTGATTAACGGACAATCAACATAAAATCGAGTTTCTGAAAGCGTTTTTCGGTGGTCAACGAGCTGTCAAAAGTTTTATTAAGCAATCTGTCAATTTGGACGATCAATCGTTGGTTAAAAATATATTTTATCAAAAATCTTAGTTTTTATTAAAAATAAACATAATTCCCTAATACGTTGTAAGGAAATTCATGTGTTCTATAACTATTTATTATCATGCGAACATA